ATAAAAGCAGAAAGTAAAAGTGCGATGCTAATTCTTTTAGGCTTTAAAAAATTAATTGGATACTAATTATCCTCTAATAAATATGTTAACAGATTCCTCTGCCAAATTGTTCTTCATTTTACTTCTTTTCCAGTGCTTTCATCTTTGTCATTTCTCCATATCCTTTTTGTCAGACTGACTGTCTTCTTTTGCCCACTTTGCCTTCAGCTTCCTTATCTAATTCCTTTGCATTCTTAGCTGTCTTATTCTATAACACCCATTTCCTCGCTCTTCCTCAACACATTTCAGTGTAACAAGAATCTTCGTTTTTCCTTTGCTTTCCTTTCAGCTTTTTTCCCCTCTGTTTCCTCCTGTGCTGGAGAAGCTGCCTATGAGTTATTCTTCTGGGGTCCTTTTAGGGTTGACCTGGCAAAGCACCATTTCCTGTTTAAGTTGAAAGAAGGTCCTCTGCGTGCTTATGGGCCTGTTTTTCTGTCCACGGTCTTGCAGAGCAAATGGCAAGAAAAGTTTCTTCCCTGTAGTTTGGTGGGGGACTGACTTTGCTCTTCCCAGAGGTGATGCTGTTGTTGTGAACAAAAATATCTGTACCTTCTGTTAAATGTGGTGCTTGCCTCCCGTGACTACTTCCAGGCAGCAGAAGGCAAACACTACCAGCAGTCTAAAAGGAGGAACAGGGGCACTATTAAAGTGAGAGAAAGGTGAGAAGCATAATGAGAGAAAGGAAATTTATGATAACGCTTCAGGATTCAAGATTCTCTCTACCAAAACACAGAACTGGTGTCTAGGCTTTCATTTACTTTAATATATCATTTGGGGGTCATATTTACAGTATATAACCATTCTTTAGTGTTCTTTAATTGAAGTCCCTGGTTCAGAAAACTACACAGACCATTTATATGGACAATAAGGTCTGATTAAAATAGAAGTTTTAGCTAGTGGAAGAATGAAGGCTCTAATTTCATGAGATTTTCAATGGGCTTAGGTTCTATTTCATCATCAGTACTTAAAATTCACGCAACAGAATGCAGAATTTTCTGGATGAACTTTTCCATTTTTACAAACTTGCTCCACAGCTAACTTGATATAACCATAAGCATGTCTTTTCAAAGAACCATATTAAATTTCTCTCCGTGTAAAAATTTTAAAAACACAGAGAAAACCAAACCCCTCAAAGTTTACAAAAGCAAATAATACCCAGAGATTTCTGCTCATATGAGCAAGAGCCAGGAAGAGGGGGTTTGGACACTCCTAGAGGAGAAGGGAGTTCCCACACTGTGTGACAGTTGTGGTACAGTAAATAGGAAACTGCTATGTCTCCAAGGTAATCCCCTCCTTTCAACTCCTCCCTGTCTGTCTTTCCCCTCTCCACATTACAGTTCCATATCCCTGTCTTCTCTCCTTCCTGCTCTCGCTCCTTGGCATTTGCATTTTTAATTAATTTCATTTTTGGTGCTTTTTGGATTTTTTTTTTTTTTTGCTTGACCTGAGATTACAGGTCCTTTAGAAAAAATTTAGGAGAGGACATTTTGATTGACTGTGTCAAGTTTTCTTCAGACATATGGATTTGTGTGTGTATTTGTATCTGTGTGCACACCAGAGGTCAGAGTCAGGCAACAGCAGCAGCAGCAACTGTATTCAGGGATTACAAGTTGTCCAGCTCCCATAAAAGCCAGTAGATAGGAATGCCTTTTGGCACAACTGTAGCACGGAATGGTTGCAAACTGTGCTTGATTCTACCTAGAGAGTTAAGCTCTTGTTGTGGTTGCTGTTTCAGTTTTTTTCTCCACAAAGGAGAAGTGGATACTGCGCCAATCCCAAACGAGGTTAATAGAGGCATGGTCAGAGCTGTGGTTTGAGCTGCAGGTCTGCAGAGAAGAAAGTTCTTATTATAGTTGGAAGAGTGTTTTAAAGAATGGTGTCTTGTGAACCTGTTTTACAGATGACTATAAATGTAGATGACTTACCTACTTAACAGGCCAGTACTGGATGTTAGGGCACTTAGAAAAATGTATATTTAAATTACATCTCCAGCAACAGAAGAGAATAAAAATTAAGGATCTATATCCTATGGAAAACACACCTACTGCTTTGTAAAAATTTTGTGTGTTCTTGTTTTATGAATCAAAACAAATTATCTGCGAAGGGTAAATAGTAAAGTTACTATTTTCATTGACCATCGAAATTTTAGTATCTTTCAAGGCAAGCAACATTTTAAAATAATGTATATATATAACTTTGTAATATAAATCAACTCCAGAAAGACCATTTTAATGAATTGCAGCTCTTCAAATCATGCAGTACACATACATTCAACTTAAGGAGCAAAATGTGCTTTATGTGTGTAGATCCTTACAACTTCAGTGTTGATTTGAAAAGCCACATTGCTCTGAACGAACAAGTCTAATTAAGCAAAAATTCCGGAGAAAATGAGAATAAATTAACTACTAAGAGATATTAAAACTGATCACTATAGTGTTAAAAGGTATATAAATGGAGCAAGAGGCATTTCTCAGTAAGAGATCACAGGTGATTTGTCACTGCCACGCAACATGATTGAATGGATGATAGAAGAACACTTTATAAGGCAAGGAAAACATCACACTTCAGTTTGTATCTTTGCCTGTGGAATTAAAGAAATCTTTTATTTTAAATTTGATAGAGAGTTATATGATTTGAAGTGAAATAAGAAATATAGTCGCATGATTTTATCAAGGAAATTGAATAAAAATTCTGAAATATGTATTGGAAAGGTTAGAAATAATAATCACTGGACAAACTTGAATTAGAGTTCCTCCTTTTCTAAGTTTTATCTAAATTTATTAATATTTCTTACAAAGACTGATGGTGGCTTTTAAAGTGTTACCAGCCTGTAACAGAAAGTTGTACTTGAAGCAAAGCAAATCACAGACTCCACATATTTTAAAATGTTTTATTATAAAGGATAAGAAACAAAATCCACATTTTTTTCAAATCCAGATAAATAAACAGTAAATATCATGCTTTTAATTTTAAATGTGTTTTGTCTTTCACGATAGGATCTGCAAAAATGGCATTCTTAACTTGGAGACCTGCAAAAATACATCTTCTGAGAATGTGGTGGAAGACAGACCACATACTTTGCATATAAATGAAGACCACTAAAAAAAATCTACTGGAAACTGAAAAAAACAGCTCTGTGAGAAAGTGCTGAGTGAAGAGTAGTTTGGTAACTTATTCAGCAGAAAACTTCAAATTAACTCTTAGTCAAGATTATTTCAAATATATATATAAATATATACAACTACACAAGAAAATGTCCCACTTGAAACCAAACAAATATCAAATTGTAAAAAAAACAGAGAACCCTGTGGGGCTTTGTGACCTTTAAGAAGGGATGCTTAAAAAAATCCAAGTTCTTTTTTCTCTATTCCGTAGAAATAAACTACTAAAGGAAAAAAAAAAAAAAGGTGAAAAAATAACCAAAGAAAAGTACAGTTACTCTGCTATTATCATCTTTTAAAAAAGAATCAGATCTTTGTTGTGCCTGATTTTGGAAACAGTGTATTGAATGAAACAAAGTAACAAACTGATAAGCAAATACCTCACTACATGCAGATTTTGCATGTCACTTGGTCCCAATTTTGTTGATGAGAATATTAATTTTGATTTCAATGGGAATGGGGTAAACTTTTTCATTTCATATATAGCAGAAGTTAAATGACTGCAAGCTGCTTTCCCAAATGGACTTTATTCCTGTAACTAAATCACAAAGGACTGTAAATAGAGTTGTCTTTATATCCTTGCATAGGTGACCCAGCTACTTTGTTGCTTGTTATTAAAATAATTTTTTCTTTTCCAATCCCACACTTCTGCAGCATTAAATAGAACAAAATTACTTGTTAGCAACATGTAACCAGTAATCTGAAATTCCTTTAATGTTTATATCTGTTTGAGGGTTCTCACCCTTTGCATAGGGTCAAGGCTGCCTGTACAAATTAAATGACTATTGCAGGAAATATAAACATGCTATTTACAAGTTCACAATTCTTTATTTTTTATACAGTTCTGATGAATATTTTTTATATTTGTAGCCTAAGCATTGTGTAGAACTGACATGCTTCTGATATTCACCAAAATGTAATAAGAAAGTAAAGTAATTAAGGATAAAATGCTCACATGCAAGGATACAGTAAAATGAATCCATTGCCTTAAGCTATGCATTTATGCAATTTTTATATACCCTAACAATTTGCCTTCCTATGTACTTTTGATGGAAAAATTCCATGCAAAATCCCATATTTTCTTTAAGATAATATTTCACATTCTTTAAACCTTCCATTAATTATTCTACATGACATTCAGACTGCTTTTAATGAAAGAAAGGAAAAGCCTCAAAACACAGCTACTTTTGTTATCACACTATAAATCCTAGCTCAGGGATCATGCCAATTATCTGATTTACCTCTACAGAGCAACTGAAGAATTTATGCTTATTATCCTTACCGTTATTCATAAGTTTGACTCAGTTTATTTATGAGAAACATGTCCTTAAAGGATTTAATGAAAAACAATATTCACACAAATAATTTGACTCTAGGATTAACATAAATCCATCCGCTATTCAAATTCAGTTCATTTAAGAAAAACAATATTCAGAGTGGTCACCTTGAGTGCTTACAATGAGTTTTAATAAAGGTGTCTCTCTAATCCTTTTTCGTGGGTATAATGTTGGCATTTCACTGCTGAATAACATTCTACTCAATAGACCATGGCTGATATGCTTCAATTCTTCAAATTCTGATGCTGTTGTTGATTTAATAAAAAAAAAAAAATACATCCACTGAAAAGCACCAAGTTTAGGAAGAATAGCCAAATCCAGTTCTTTGGAAAACCATTTCAGCCATCTTCTTCTAAACCAAACCTTCCCCAGTCATCAAAACATGGGGTGACTCTTGGGGAGTATTTGTAGGTTATGAAGTAATAACAAAGTGACTTTGCATCATCCTTACATGTTGCTTTCAAGAAGTCCTTCACCTTTTACCTTCAGATTGTAAAGTGTTGCTGCTGAGGGCAGTGCCATCCTGGCTGGTTCTGGGACCCACTGTTTAGTGTCTTTAGAAGTCCAAGGGCCGAATCATCATGGTGGTGGAGCGCAAGGAGTAGCTGGGGCCTTTGAAGTAATGCCACTTGATGCCATTGAGCTTTCCGTGGTTTTGTCCAGCTGTGTAGAACATCCCATTGAGATTGGAGGGTCCACAGGCATCAAACCACCACCCTGAAACCATTAACAAAAATTAAACTGCAACTGCACTAAGTATTTTTGTTTTATAGGTTTAGCTGATTATCAAATTCTGGTAAATAACTCATAAATAGTCCTGGTGTGGTGAGTGTGCTATTTTCATATTTTCCTTTTTTGCTCTTTTGTGCTATACTGTAGTCAGCAGTGCAGGAGAACACACACTTGTATTTACAGAATTGCAAAAGTAATTACATCCCAACTCATTCTAGTTTTATATGCAGTATGTGAAGCCAAAGCAAGAACATCAAAGACAAACTGCTTTGCATATTTAGACAGTATTGCAGTTTTCATTTAAAGCACAGAAAAAGATTATAATTCAAAATTATTTTGCATAATTTCACATTGCTAGGTCATTTTGAATACAAGCATGATTTAATTTTATTTACCGGTCCTTTTCTGTTGCTTTAACTGTGGTTGTTCAACTGCTCAGTTGTTTTTGCTCCCAGGTTAGATCTTTTTAGTAACTGTATTGTGAGAATGGTGGTGCTTCCCTGTCATAGTAACTACAATGTTGTAGTAATAGATAATCAGCATTTAAAATTGTGTACTAGGCGAGAGGTAGATACTTTCTTTAAGATTTATAAACAAGACAGCAAAAGAATGGAAGGACTGAGTGAAGAAGATAATTACAACACTGTAGGATGCTGAAAGTCAGAATAACAGTGTGCAGGGGTAGATGATATATCTGATTATCTGAGTGTACGTGCATTTAGGTGAGAGTGTGGCCCACTTCGGTCAAGGTATATTCATCACATGTACAGTTTGTGACAGGACAATAACATTCAATTCTTAGTCTTATGATTTTGAATGTGAAAACCTATATTAAATTGTAAGCCTTCTAATCTTGATCTTGAAAAGTGCCAAACACTCATTTAGGTGTCTACAGGTAGACAAAAATTCCTAGTTACTCGACTAACACTGATGGTAAAATATATTAAAACTGTTACTGATTTATATCAGTAGAAAAATAGGCTTAGAAAATTGCTAACTACCTTTTCTGCCTCCCTACCCTACCTGCTATTTCCCAGCAAGATGCAGCTTCCTACATATTAAGCCATTGAATTCTGTGAAATTGCATATATTTTATTATACTGGAAGGACAGGGCAAGAAATGTCTTGCCCAGATGTTTGTGATTCTAGTTCACTGCTCCAGAAGCTACAATGCAAGACTGTTCTGAAAAGTGAAGTGAGATAGATTTAGAAAAAAACTCAGAACCTTGCTTTGGGAGGGCAAAACAGCAATCTGGTTTACAAAATGACCCTGTGAACAGTTGCATGGGCATAACTGAAGGAGTAGTAAACTAAGAAGTTAGGATAAAAAAGAAGTGTAACAGCTCTGGAACATCTGTGTGACTGAATGTAGAAAATTTAAACTTGCTAGAAGTGCTGGTTTAGTTTCAAAATGTAAGCAAAAAAAGGCATCTCACCTTCGGACTTCTGCAGTGAAAATATGCATGTATGTCTTTAACCAGCTGAGAAAAAGGAGTCAGTGGTGAAAAGAAGTGTGAATCTTCAGATCTTTTTTAAACTGTTGCTTTAAGACAAAATTAGTCAGTGAACTCTCTTGTCTCTCTCTCCAAGATCTTTTCTTGTTAAGGTGAATTTTAGATTGCCATGGGAGCTAGAGTTTTAAGAAAAACTCTAAATAACATGAAACTTGGCAACATCGAGCTTACAGAACACAAACTGACAAAGATAAACTAGGTGACATGCTGACTCCACTGAAAGTAGTGGGAGTTTTGCTGGATGTCTTGTTGGGAATAGAATTTTCTCTCCAACACCTTTCAGAGCATCTATGTAATGTAAAAGGAAGATGCTTAGTTTAGACTGAGAAAGGCAGAATGAATTCCCAGACTGCAAAGACCTAATATTCCCAATGTCAAAAATGTATTTACCTCAGTGGCTAGGAGCTCTATTTGTCAGAAAGACTTCTGTTTGGTTTTTTTTTCATGTAAGATCTTTGGGTTTTTGAATCTTTAGCACAGGTTTTATGCATCTTTCCATGTAATATGGTTGTACTGAACATTTGTGTCATTTATAGAGACAAATAAGAGCATAAAGATCAGGTGGCAACTTTTGCTTTGGTAGTTAAATGCCATTTTATTTTAAAAAAGTTATTTTAGCCTGTAGATCACAGCATTGTAATCTTCTCGGAACTCTTTGTAAATCATTTTCAAACAGCACTGGTAGCGGCAAACTGATCATCTAATGAGTGCCTACTTAATTCTGCAGCTGTCACTGTGGAATCAAATGGAGAATTTTAAATTTTCAGTGTGTTTCCCACTCTGACTGCTGGAAATAGAATTAAACTGTGAGAAACTCCTTTTAGACAATGTGCACAGTCCTAGGGAATCATCTGATTCCCTCAGTGGTTAGCCTTTTATCTACCTATAATGAATGCATTATATGAAGGTATTTTAAACTATGGCTTATTATTACAGATATGACACTGACCATGTTTAGCCTTCGAGTCCAGTGTTTACTCTGTCATTTTTATTCAGATCCATGTAATTTATGTTTCTAGTCTTGTATTTCCTTAGACTTTGGATAATACTTAGGGTTTTCTTCTTTTCAGAAGTAGCACCTCATAAGGAAATCTTCAGGGAAGAATCTATACTAGATAAATTCTGACAATCTTCTGTTTTGGTACAGTTGACCTCCCTTTGGTTGCAATGTTATACTTATGGGGGCAATAACCAAAGAAAGGGAAAGCTGTACAGCTGATATTTTACTGTAACCATAGTATAATCTTATAGAAACTTAAGATGAAGTTAAACAGAGAAATCCTAACCCTCATTTCTCAAAGTTGGAACCCAGATGCACCTGGGTTCTGTTTACAGTGTTGGGATGAAGAAATGACAAGCTGAGTTAGTTACCATTTCATCATAAAGGAACAGGAATAGTTCCATAAATGGACTTTTTGAAGGTTTTAGTGATGCCTTACAAAATCTGTGGAAAAAATTTGAATGAGTTGAAGAAACACATAATTTTATAAAACATTTGTGAGGACTTGCACAAATCTCTTATCTCAGATTTCTTCTAAATAAATACTTTCAAAGTGTGTTTGAATGAGCATATTTTTTTCCTACTATACTGTTCTTGTTAGTGAGAACGTATCAATTTTTTAAAGATGTCTCCTAATATTACATTAAAAGTTTTCGATCTTTTTTTTTATAAATGAGGTGGGTTTTTTGTTTTGTTTTCTGGTGTGTTTTTTTCTCCATATGGTTATGTCTCTCTATGCTCCCTTGCATCCTCTGATGGGTCTTCTTTCCCCATAAGGCCTCATATTATCACAAGACTTCCCACTGCATGTCTCAACACCAAATCAATTCCTTTGAAAGGGCGCTCAGTTGTTAGAAAACGGTGCTAATAACACCAAGGTAGTGGTTTTGATCCCCATATGGGCCATTCACTTAAGAGTTGGACTCGATGATCCTTGTGGGTCCCTTCCAACTCAGAATATTTTATGAAATCTGTGAATGGATGCACAGAAAATGTTTTTTCAGATGCTTTGTATATTAAGGGAAAGAGGAATGGAAGCAGTGACTTTCTTGGTAGCTATGAGGAAGTGAGGGAACATAAAACAGAGGTTTCTGAAAGAGATACCTGCAGCACTGCCACTGCAGAACACACCAAATGAAGAAGCTCCAGAGCTGTGACAGTTTGACCCAAGAAAAGACACTCAGTAACTAGATGTTAGCTTATTCCCTGGAGTTCACAGGATTTTCCTCACATGAAGAATCCTGTTTATTTTTCACTACAAGGTAATGCCTTTCCCAAATAAGTATATAGTCTTCTCTGCATAGCAGTAAGATTTTAACCTGGAACAAAACTTTTGACAATAATTTCCATAGGATATTTTAATCAGGCATGAGAATCATGAAAAGTGGGCATTATAAGAAATAATAATAGAAACAAGATTTTAAAGTGACTAATAGAGTAGTAAAAAGAAGGTTTATGTGGGAAAGTTAAGAGAGTTTTTATTCAGAAACAGAGGTTGTTTCTTCAAGTTGTTGTGATTACAAAGTCACTAATTGCTTGTTTGAACTGAGGATAAGTTCATTTTTTTTAGGTTAGCCCACCCCTAATAATTTGTGTAGTAACAGCAGCACTACTATCTCTGTTTGCAATAAGAATCCCTAGGTTATAAAATATATTGTCCAGACAAAATAGAAGTTCAATTATTCATTGATAATACATTAATATACATTGATAAGTTGTTTGAAAATTCAGCTATACAAATAAACAGGAATCCTCACTGTAGACAGCTGCTTTTCTGGAGCAGTTAAGGTATGCTCGCTCCTTGAGGACACTTGTGGTTTGGTCTTTAATTAGTGTTGCTATTACCTATGGGCATTGTGAAATTACATGTCAGGTCTTTTCATTAAATAAATATATTTTGAATTCTTAAGCCAGGCAGTTGAGCTCCACTGATCTGCTTGTACTATATCTTTGGATGAATATGAATGTATATTGAAATAATTTCCACAAATTCTTGCAAAAACTATCTAATAAAGAAGCATTGTTCTCTTATATTGGTTTTCTGAAGTGCTAAGTGTAACTTTTGCATGATAGAACCTTCTCTGTCAAAAGCAACACAAAAAAGGCTTTTGGATGCCAAAGCTAACATGCTTTTTTGGCTTGTTGTATAAATTGTAATTAAGCATGTATGCATGTAAAATTCTTTGTTAGTAACCTAATGCTCATCAATTACATGAAATGAGTGCCCTGTAAATCCTGGGAACAGGGTAGTGATCATTCAGGTTTGATGGGAGGTTCTTAGTTGTCTTTTATATAGTAAAAGAATAGGTGTCTTAACACTGCACATTTGACGGCAGACCCCATTTGACGTATCCTCACATATGTCTCTGTTCTCCCTCCTGAGTACACTGAATGCAGTAAGATCACTGAATGCAGTAAGAACAATACAGGTCTTTCAATAAGATCCAAGTGTGTTCGAATGGTACATTTGTATGGGTTTATGGGATAAATGGATCCTATGAAAAGCCAAGATTTATTTGTAGCCCTTGGGTTTGTCCATAAAATTTAGTACATTTGGCAACAAAGCCAATAAGAACAATTTCTAATGCAAAAACACTGAAATAATCCTCAATGATCAAAAGACATAACTTATTTTAGGAAAGATTTCAATGTTTCTGACATTCTATACTTTAAAGAATTTAGTTGGTAATACAAAGGATCTGCTTGACTTTGCATTGATAACTTCTCAGCTAGAAGACTGGCTGAAGTTTTGGATGACACCTCAAGCTATTTGTGGAGCCACAGGACAGGTTCCAAAAGAGTGAATGTAAGAGGAAAGATTTAGGATTTTATAGTCCAGAATTCAAAAGAGAGATTGCCAACAATCTCAAATGAATACAAAAACCTTTCAAAGGAATGCAAAGAAATGGTCTATGCTTTCCAATGGTGGAGGATAGAACAAGATGGAAAACATTTAAATTATCATAGAATCAGTTAGTCAACATACAAAGCTTTCTTACATTGTGTAGACAAACTCAGTAACAGATTTTATTGTGAGAATGAATATTACTAGAAATCTTGAAGGCAAACAGAAAGATGGAAATGAACAGATAGAGAAGAATCTGTCTTAGAAAAGGACTAAATGACCTCTAGAAGTAATTTCTAGGCCTATGTACTCCTTAGAGTATTGGATTGTCAAGACTACCAGTCTGACTTAATAGACGAGAAATCCATTGGAAAATCCACTGAGGTTTAATAAATACATGGGAGTCTCTGGTTCAGGAAGATCCTGAGATTCAAAAGATACTGGGAAAATACTCAAGGGATGTTTAATTTATCTGCATTTTTCTTAGGCCTGTACTGACTTCTTTCAGAGACAGGAGACCGAAGTTGGATGGATCTCTGCTTTCAGTAAAATAAAAAAAAACAACAACAAACCAACCATTTATTTCAGTAATTCTATGTTGCTTCAAACCTGGCAAGATATCTAGAAAGTCTCCCTGTCTTTTTGTCAAACTATTTTCAGGATCAGAAGTTTAGCTTCTCACCTGAAGCAAGGTAAATGCTTGTGTGAACATCTCAGACTGCAGCCAATGTCAAACAAGGAAAACCACCTTAAAATTCTTTCCCTGTGAGCCAAGTTACTGTAAATCACTTTCCAGTGATTGAAAGCAATTGCACAAACAGTTTGGGGCTCAGCTGACTGGTGAGCAGATGGACAAGAACTTGGTCCATGAATCCGATCCTGAGATGTTAAACGTTAAGTGTTGTATTGGAAATCTATGTGATGCACTTTGGACATCCACTCATTGCTCCATTCTGGTGACAGTTTGTTGCATTTTTAAAGAGATTTCTTGCAAGAAGCCTTGTATGTAACTTACTGGGGTACTCTTCCAAGTAAGGCTTGAAATTATATCCAGATACATATATATGTATAACCCTGTGCTCAGTTTACTGGTCTGAGATATTAAACCACTGAAGAAATTATTTGAATAAATGCAATTTGTCTTTAAAGTAAAACAAGCATGCTTAGCTTAAATTTTCAAAGGCACAAAAAACCAGCTAAAACATTTAAATACCTTGAAAGTTTACAGAGACTAAGAATCCAGCTCATGCATGTACTTTTGAAGCCATTCCCTAAAATCAACATTAAGAGAAATTCAAGTAGCATAATGTGGCTCTCTAAAGGAGAAGAAAGACACACACACACAAAACACTGTTGGTGCTTCTGTATTATTCTCCCAGTATTTAATTTCTCATTCTGGGGAAGAAGGGGGAGATAAAGGAGGAGATAGAATAGTAGTTATGATATAGACCAAATAAAACTGACAACTAGCAAGATGACAGAGAGAAATATGTGTTTTCCTTACATTTTATTTTCAGCCTTGATTATAACCATATCACAGTCTTGAGCTTCAGCTTATCTCAGCCTTTATTCCTGACATAAATATACTCAGTTCACCTCATAGAGATAACAGGCTCACCCAAACTGTCAAGATAGCTAGAAACCTGCCTGCAGATTTCATATCATTCATCATTAAAGAGCTCTTTGTGATGTTGCCAAAACTAACAAAGTCTGATATTTTTTGCTTAAAAAAACCCTGTTATCATTGCTACTTTTATTAATTAGTCTTTGTCTGGTACAAAACTGAAATATACTCACTAAAAAATGTTTTGGTATTTAATTCAATTTCTGATGTTCCTTAAGGAATGAGAAAGTCATTTCAAGGAGCAAAGCATAGCAGAGTGTTTGAGGAGAACTCTAACTTGATTAAAGTCTTTCTCTTCTTGAAAAACTACAAATTACTCAGTGCTGTACAGTCAATTCCGAGGGACTGGTACTCAGAGTCTTGTTCACAAGAGTAGACTTATCTATCTCCAAAGGTTAGTTCCATCTCTTTTTACTCTGTAGTGATTTCCTATATTTGTGGTTTCCTCAGCCTTTGGTAATTCTCCCCTTCTTCTTTACTAATTTGTTACCAGTATATTCCAATATGTGGTTTTCTGGTGGATTTGCAGGACTGCTGCAGCAATATATGTGAATCTTGTGGAACCATTGTTCAATAGCAGACTGACCTTAGCAGGGCATTGACCTGCCATAGAAGTCAGAGCAGGAAAATAAACAAACCACTCTTCTCCCAGAATTAACTGTCTGGGAGAAGAGGTATTTCCAGGCAGCTTAGATACACGAATGAGTCTGCACTTCAGCACAGACACGACTCATACTCAGCAGCTTCCCACTAGACTCTGAACTGCCCTGGAAATAACACAGTTTGATTTAGCATGGATTCTAAAGGGAAAGGTCAACAGTTTTAATTAAAATAAACTGTTGACACTCTTATCCAATGTCTGTCTCCAGAACTATCTGATTAGCTTCTATTTTTTTATAGAAATAAAAAAGGTACTTTCTGATCTCCTGTATATGGTAAGAAGTTTCCCAGATGACTTTTCAATAAGATATCACTAGAGGAAGTTATGGAAATTTGAAAAATTTGCTCCTTAAAGATTTTCCCAACTGGGTCATTTCCAGTTAGCAAAAGAGAACGAAGAGCTAGGTTGTGCATTTGATATAAATTCTCAGTGATGGGAAACCATCTTCTGTTAGCAGATGACAGTTTTAGAGGCTCATATATGCCTGAATATGACCTGAGCTGGATTCAGAGTGCCAGTAACCACAAATAATACTGGTTTAGCAATCAGATCCAAAAGAGTGAAAAATTTACATGCTATAGGATCTTTTCCAGGAAAGTTAGAAATCACTGAGAGTCTCCAAAGATGAGATGTGAAGATAAGAAAGGGCCGTTCTTGGTCATACAGTCAATGAACCAAAGAATCCCAATTTAAGCTTTCTGCTACAATGTGGTATTCTGGAGATAAAAATGAGCTTTTCCATATAGGGACTAGGAATAAGTATAATTTTCCAGAGAAAGTTCTCACTCTTGGGTTAAAGCTTTAGGTGACGGTATGGGGAGATACTTGCTGGCAGTCAGATTGAGTTGGTGCTTTAAACTATCCCGGTATACCTTGTCTGTGCTCTTCTCCACCTCGACTATTTCTTTCCTTCTGCAGTTTGACTCAGCTCACTAGGATACCAGTTTAAATCTTCCAGATTAAAACAGATGGTTGCAGGTCTAGTCTTTCACAGATGAGCGAATTAGTCCCTACATTAACTGTGTCTTTATGTATTATGCTCATATAACACAGAAAGTTTAATTATTATAATTATTTCAATAACAGAATCACACCCCTAAGTGAAATAGATAATACATTACAAACCTAGATGCTGATTGTTTTTAAACTTTACCTTCTCATATCTAATTCCCTGTATTTTTTCTCTTCTTTTTCTGGTTCACTCTCCCACTTCTCGCAAATGCCTTCTCTCTTAGCTTCTTTTCTCTTATTTTTCCTTTCTTGCCTAAACAATTACACTAGCTTATGCTTTCCCTTTGACAATGTTGCAACAGCTTCAGTGCAGAAATATTCCGATTGCATCTCTGAATAATCCCTTCTCTGCTGATAGGAATCTTGAGGTATTGGCACTACCACAATATATGCATAGATAAGAGTGGAAGTAAAAACAATTAAAGGAATTTTCACTCAGAACTTACACATCCATGAATACAACTTTATCCATGGTTGCTTTAGGAAAACAGTTGATTCCTATCAATGTACCACATATTTTCAGAGTGGTACTCACCTCCAGTCAACATGAGAGCACATTTACACATGCAGTTGTCATTGTCAGCATCTTTTGTACTGAATTCAGCACCGTGTAAGATCAGGCTGCTCTGTTTTCCAGCAGTTCCACTATGACCTTTCAAATAAAGTCTGAAACAGCAAGGGAAAACAATCAGTGTCACCAAAGTAAAAACAGAAAAATAAGAGATACAGATATTTTTCCACATCAGATTTGCCTTCAGAAATGTCTTGTGTTTTGGTTCAATCTCTTTGTTCAGGTGTAAAATGGGGGTAATCAGGACCCTTTATGTATCTGTAGTAGGACATTGTCCTTGTCCCAGAGCAGAATTGAGCTCAAGGAATCTGAACTGGAAAATGCAGCAAAAGAGAGGGATTGAGAGACAGAGGAGTGAAGAGAAATGCCCAGAGCTCTGGAATACATTGACAGAATAACTGAGTACTTGAGGAGCTGGTCTCTTTACTGTGGCACAGAAACAGCACTCCCAGTTAACAGCAGTTCTGTTATTAATCCCTGGGCTCGAAAGAGGATTTTAGCAGTCTCAGAATTTTTAATTCCACCATTTACAGCACAAGCCAGCAATACAGTTCTGCCAAACCTGTCTCAGAGTGATGAATGGAGAATAACTTAGAGTTCAAGCCACAAAAGTCTTCATAATTTGCAATGTTAAATTTCCCGTTTCTTAAGGAGGCTTGTCAACTAGTTGAAACCACAACCATGAGCTAGAAGCTCAAGCTCAGATACCAGCAGCCAAATGTGAGAGGAAAGGGAGAGGAGAGAGAGAGGAGTGGAAGGGAGGGGAGGTGAGGTTAAAAACTATGGTTTCCCTTGCCTCTACTTAAGCAGCTCCATGAAACAGACATCACTGGGAGATGGATGCTCACAGAAAAAACCTATTTCCAGTAAATAGCTACCAACATCAGATATATGATTAGTATGTTCTTGGATTTTTTTCATAAAACATTACTGGAGGAGGAAGATATCCTTTGCCGTAATAGCTTCATACAGAGGAAGGAAGAGACAGGATCTCAATGGAGAAATATGAAGCCATAATCCTTACATCCCAGGAGCAAGCCATAGCCATTGGAGCAACAAGAGGGGAAGACACACCCCTCATCTGTCTCATTGAACCCCTACAGGTAGGAATGAATGAGCCCCAGAGGTAACCAAGATTTTGTATACAGTGGGATAGACTTCTCTGAAGAGAAGCTGAGAAGCATCAGTTTTGTTTCTTCTAGGGTTATTGAAAAGGGGTAAATATATTTTTAAATATCACATGCAAAATGTATAAGGAGTAATGAGAGCAGAAACAGGACTTAAATGTGTAAAGTAGGAGAGACATGTGCTTCTCTCTGTGATTTACAGCTGGAGTGTTATCCTAGAAAATGCTTTCCCAACTTCTCCCACAGACACAGTGAACAAGGAGAGCAGTTATGAGTCACTGACTGTTGCTACCTCTTTGTTGTTGTATTTTTATCCAAATACTTTTTATGAATAAAAACGTAAATGCCTTTACCAAAGTTTCATTCATCCATTTGTTTAGATGGAAGACAGATACTTTATTGCAAAGTGGTCAGAGTATTAACAGCAGGAGTAGAGAATATCCCTAACCCATTTTAGCCTGCAGTTGTAGTTAAGTCATTGACATTTTTCTGAGATGAGAAGGAGAGTCTGTCCCCCAGACTGAGATTTAAATAAAACCCAGTTTTCCCACAGAACTTTGAGACTGGAATTCTGCTTATGAGGGCAAAGGCAACATACGATGGCTTTCCTTAGTCAAGTGCATGGCTACTGGTTTTTGTTGGTTTAGTTTTGAGGGTTTTTTTTGTCTTGCATGCATCTGTGGGTGGATATAAGATCCAAACAAAGCCAATTGGATTAAACTTGTCATGGAAACTCATTACAGAAAAGCCTTTTCTGTATATCCAGTGAGGTTATTGAGTCCTCACAAAACATGAAGGCACAGAACCAGCACTTGGCACCTTAGAGAGTTCACACTTGCAGACTGACTTAAACTTCACTTAACTTTTTACAAATTTCTTCCTGTGTGTCCTTTCTCCATCTTTAAAAATGAAGACAGTAGATGCGAAGCATGAACATTTTAAAGTAAAAAAAAATATTAAGAAAAGATAACTGTCAGGGCTATCCTTCTAAAGCACTACCTACCTTAATTTGATTTTAATTTTGAATGTTACGTGACTGAGACTGATGATGACATACCTTTGGACTTAATCCTTAGAGAAAATTTTGTGTATAGATAACTACACACACACAAACATATAAAAATTTTTGGATTAAATACAAATACCATGGATAGTCAAATACTATTGGATAGCACAAAAAAGATAAGGCAAAGTGTGAGCCTCAATAAAAGACTGTGAAAGTTCTTAGTGTTTTAACAAGGAACAACCTAGGAACAGGAATCCAGGAAGATCATTACCCAATCATAGTGGAAATTAACCTGTAATGACCATGTTACTCTATCAAAGGATGCTTGTTTTAGACAAAATTAATCTGAGATCCTATTTGCTCATGTTAATTTCTTTGTTTTATACAAGTGAAAGGCTGGAATTGGTCCCATCTTCATCCATTGGACTTTGGCCTTGTTTTGTAAGCTGTGCCTATTTTTTTGCACAACAAAATAAACTTCCCTGAGGTTGTGTTGATAGAAAAATTACTTTGTCACATGATATCTATGATCTGATTTGAAATGGCCATACAAGTTCATTATATCTGCAACACTGACACTCACAGAAGTCTCATAAAGTCCATTTAAAAAGCAAATGTTGTTTACTTAAATAAGAAAGACAAGGATAGCCAGACCTTTTTATTAGCAAGAATACTATAAAACCCACTTAGTCCGATTAAAAAAAATAAATTTTACAATCTAAGAAAACATAAAAAATAAAGAAATACACAATATTTGGTATTCAATGTTTTCCCCAAAGGGGTAGGGCATTAGGATTACTTACAAGCTCTTTACTTGCCCTGATATTTTACAAACATTCCACTCATCACAGATTTAGGTCTTGCCAGTTACCTTTGACTTTCCCTCAACACCATTTGTCTAGTATGTCTCCAGTGACCTTAAAAGGATAAAGCTTATCTTAGCTCAGCTCTGAACTCCAGTAGGCTTATTGTACTGAACAGCATGCAGATGAACCGCAGGGTGAAACAGTAATTCTATTTCTTTGGGCTTTTCTCCCCGAATTGGCATTGCCAACAGTTAGGAAAAAATGACACTGCTAAGTTGGCACTACTTTACACCAAAATCAGATCTCAATCAAACCCCAAAACTGGTCCTGAAGCAATCAGTTCTTCTTGTTCTCAGCTTCAGTTCAAGCCATATGGGTCCAAACTAGCCTGGCTTGAGATAGCAATTCTGATAGCACTAGAGTAATTGATGAGCCTGTTAGCTCCCAGGAGCAGTAGATATCTTACCGCTTGGACTCAGCTAATTTTTTAGTATTCTCAGATTCAGATTGAAAAAATTGAACCTTTAAAAGAAACTGTGAATAACTACCAGGACATAATTTCCTTCCCTTAGAAAAGATAGCAATTCAGAGTTGAGTTCATCTTGATTTTTCTTGAAGGAGATAAAGGAAAGGAAATTTAGAATAAAAAGGGATTTATTCCAATTAAATTTTATAAACCATTTTCAGGACTACATCTCCAGCCTTTCCACTTCTCACAGCCAAGAAATTCTAAAGATCAAAGAAAGAAGGGGAAAGGCTGCTCAGATTTACACAATAGGCAGGAAAAGTAAATTCATGCTCATATAAAAAAGATCAATTATACTTTATCTGCATACAGTGGAATTAAAAAAGCAATAAATAAAGAATAGTGAATAAATTATGAGTAAATAGGAGTAAGAGAAATAGTACATTTGTATATTAAGTTTTGAGGACTTCCGATGACATCTATATGAAATTCTAAAATCACTATGAGGAACAGAGCAGCTGACAGCATTCCTTTGGAAACTAGAAAATTTCTTAGTTGACGTACTTAAGAGAAAACGGTGCATTTTAAAAAATATTTTAACTGTTACCTCTTATCTAGTATAGGTGTTAGAAATACCCTCTGCATTTTATTCTTGTGATATTATAGCAATGGCAGCTTGGGATTTCACAAATGGTGAGGAAAAACTCTCTTAAGAATGTTTTACTTTTCACCATTCCTTCTCCATGACACAACTTGACTATCTGCAGTTCCTTGAAATAAAAGTAAGGTATAGTGTGTGGAAATAATAGATCTAAAAATATCACATAAACAGCTGCAAGGCATCCTGAAAAGCCATTTCAAACTTCAAGCAGAAATTTTTCCTGTTGAAGTGATTAGATGACCCGGAATTCTTTCAAATATATACAGTTTAGCTGCTTTCACACCATGTTTAAAGAGTTTAACAGATAAACCTGGGATAATTCTAAATAAATTACCAAAAAAGTATAGTTCTGCAACATGCAGTTATGAAATGTGCAACATACAGAATAAGAAGTAAATGCAATCATAAATCCATGTGAAAAAAATTGTGTGCTAAATCTCATTAAAGTGTAGGAGATAGTTTCTGATGCAATGTTTACAATTAGAACATCTCTCCTTAGAATTTCTATTTATTTATTTACTAGAACTAGTGAAATGTTTGTAAGGCTTACACAATTTAATATTAACTATTTTTTTCTCTATTTTTTTTTCTGTTAGTCAGCAGAGATCACTCAGTCCTTTATTTAAAGTAGACCCTTAATGAAACAGCTAAGAAGTCCTGTGCAGCTTTGTTGGTGACTATTACTTATTTTGTATGTAAATAAACAAAAAATGCACTAGTTTACTGCAAATATTAACAATTATCATTAAGGGATGTAGAGTGTACAATTATCCCAGTGTACACGGTCTTTAATATCTTATGAGTTAAGATCCAATTTCACCATTGCCATAGTACTAAAAATCTGAGCACAGATCTTCATGACTGGAATTCATAAACAAGAGTAATGACCTAATGTTCTTAAGCATTAAATAGAGAGAAACAGAAATACTGAAGTAGGCTTTAAAAGATTCGGCTTGATGAATGAAGAGGGACATATCAAAGCTTGCGTTTGGGAAATACTGTAGAAGGATGTCTCCAAATTCCCTCCTC